GCTTTCCTATGGTTACTTACGGTATAGCTTTTCCTATTATTTTACCAAAGGATAAAGCATCCTTAAACCTAAGAAGTGTCTTTTATAGACAATATACAATTAAGTGGGATCTTGCTTTTATCTAGTCTGATAACCTCTACCTTGATAATTGGGGTTTTCAGACCCCTCACATTTAACACAAAAATTGATCTGATTGGATTTACATGTGTTAATGTCATTTTGCTAGTTGTATTGTACATACATTCTTTTTTTGTTGTTCCTCATTGACAGTCTGCTTTTGTGTTAAACATTTCTTAGTATACAACTAAATTCTTCTGATTTTTTAAAGTTGTATTTTAAAGTTATTCTTAATAGTTGCTCTAGAGATTACAATGATCATCTTATTAATTTACCACAATCTGCTTCAAATTAATATTAACTTGATTCTAGTAAAATGTAGAAAAACTTTACCCCAATGGAGCTCCATTTCATTCCTCCTGTTTTATACTATTATTCTCCGACATATCTGTCACCATTATAAACACAACAGACTTTGGTATGCTTTGGTGAAATTCCAGAGAGATGCAATGGTTATTTTTGTCTATTCTATGACCAGTGTTAAGTTATAGTTACCACTTTACATAGTGTTATGTGTTTTGTTTTGTTTTGTTTTTTAATATTTTTTATTTATTTATTTGACAGAGAGAGATCACAAGCAGGCAGAGAGGCAGGCAGAGAGAGAGGAGGAAGCAGGCTCTCCGCTGAGCAGAGAGCCCGATGCAGGGCTCGATCCCAGGACCCTGAGACCATGACCCGAGCTGAAGGCAGCGGCCCAACCCACTGAGCCACCCAGGCGCCCCGGTGTTATGTGTTTTAAGAAGAAATAAGAATAAAGTTTTTTATGTTAGCCCACATATTTACCATTTCCAGTGCTCTTTTCTTCCTGGGAACCTAAGTTACCAACATGTCATTTTCTTTCAGCCTGAAGAACTGGCAGGTCTGCCAGTGGTGGATTCTTTTGGTCTCTATCTGAAAATGTCTTTTTTGCCTTCATTTCTGAAGTTCTGCTGGACACAGAATTCCAGGTTGACAGTTTTCTTCCTTGAGCGCTCACGAATACCATTCAGCTTTTATCTTGGGTGAGAAGCTGGCTGTGAATCATATGAATGCTCCCATGTATGTAATAAGCCCTTTTTCTCTTGCTACTTTTAAGATTTTCTTTTTCTCTGGCTTGTAACAACTTGACTATAATGTGTCTAGGTATAGATCACTTGTGTTTCCGCTACTTGAGGTCTGTTGAGCTTTTTGAATGAGCAGGAATTCTCCTCACATACGTTCTTGAGTATTATTTCTTCAAATAGTTTTTGTCTTGCCCCAACCATGACTGCAATCCTGGGCTAACAGAGTCATTGTCCTTCCCCATTTCCCACCACTAAGACTGTCACTCCAACCAATAAGGCCAAGGTTCCAGGGCTACTGTCCACAACTCTCCTAAATTGAATGAGCCCCTTCTCACTCCTGCAGAGAAGGGGCTGGTCTTCACAGCCTGTACCTGCCAGGCAGAAGTTCCCTAGCAGTAGAACTGGGGAGAGGGCATGGAAAGGGCTCCAGGCTAAATCCTCACATATTCTCACTATTCTTACCCAAAGTTCAGTAGTTCCTTAAGCACAAACACTTCTCAGATCATTATATGCCTTAGATCAATTTCCAAAGTGCTGAAATGATTGACATTTTTGGGCTTATTTTGTCCTGTTTTATAGTTGGGGAGGGGGTGAAAATCTCTCCTCAATCAATTGTTGCTGGAAATTACCCTCCAGCTTTGATTTACTTTGAAAATAAAATACACACAAACTGGGAGCCTAAATCAGAAAAGCTGCCAGAGATGGAGAGGGGAACTGCTGAGAGGGAAATAACTGATTTTACCCTTTGGTCTTCCTATGTATGCTACACATCACACCAATGTAGTAAAAAAAAAAGTTTTATCTTGGTGATTTTAATTCATCAGCCACTTCCTTAAAGAAAATTATCTCTCCTAGAAGCTACCAGAAACTCCCTTTAGTCTTCAACATGCCCAATTTGAGTCATAAGATAGTATGAGGGGCGCCTAGATGTCTCAGTAGGTTAAATGTCTGCCTTCTGCTCAGGTCATGACCCTGGGGTCCTGGGATCAAGTCCTGAGTCGGCTTCTCCCTCTCCCTCTGACCCTCCCCCCACTCATGCTTTCACGTGCGTGCACTCTAACTCAAATGAATTTTAAAAATCTCAAAAAAACAAAAAACAAAAAACAAAACAGTGTGAAAGAAAACGAGGCAGTTGTGAAACAAAGCCAAACAGAAATTCTAGACACAGAATACTATGCAGCAATGAAAATGAATTAACTACCGCTGAACTCAATGTAGATAAATCTCACAAACAGTACGTTGAATGAAAGCAAGCAAAGGGTACAGACTGTGTAATACCATTATGTATTATGCAAAACCAGGAAAAACTAACCTATGCTATTAGAAGCCAAGAAACTGGTTACCCTTGTGGTAGTGACAATAAGCAGGCGTAAGGGGCTTCAAGGCTGTTTCTTGAATCAAGCTGTAAGGATGTGTTCATGTTTGGGCAAATGTATCAAGTAGCAACCTTCTGCACTTTTCAGTATGTGTCCTATATCTCAATTAAAAAAAAATGAAATTCTCTCAGAACCATCTAAAATTGCTTGTTAGTTTTATAAGATTCAGTGAACTTGAAGCTGAAGAGCTTCAACCCACTTAAACTATGGTTAGTACAGCTGTGCCTTTTGATCTGCCCAATGTGGGATTTCACACTAACCTGAGAACCAATGGAACAACCACACCATGATATAGGGAGGTTCCTAAAGGGATGTTCTCAAGCCAGATGCACTCAACAAGAAAGGATTCAAAGACCACCTGTTTCTAACACAGAAGCTGGGGCCACACACTCCAGAACAGATAAGTTTTAGAATAGTTGTAGGGTATACCTGATCCTATGATTTTTGTCAAAACTCACAACTGTACTTCTTAAATAAATTAAACAGAATATTCTATGTGGAAACTCAGGGACATAGTAGCTCTACATGTGGACCACCTTATTTTGAGTGAAGACTGAAGGGACAGTTGTCACCAATACTTCCCACACTAGGACCAATTCTGGGTACATATCTGTCACCCAATAACCAGCAAGGCAGAGACTATCACCCATTTTACTAACGAAGAAACAAAAAGACCATCTGCTCAAGATCAGTCAGGGAATATAATGTGACCCCAACTCTGCCTACCAGCCACCAGAACCAAACTCTTTCCACACTCTCTTACTGCTCCATGAGTGCCCTAGGGAGTCTCTAGTCCCATAGGATCAACTCTGCCCCGTGTGCCTGGGTTAATCTCTGATCCCTGCTCCCTTGTTTCCTTTGTGTCATAAGGATATCATCCCCACCAACCTCAAAAAACACCACACTGTCCAAGTAACCTTGGGTTGGAAGTCAACAGGCATAATGGGGGAAGTCTGGAAGCAAGAGGCCCAAAGGCCAAATGTAGCCCCAGGCTTTGTCAACAGAAAGATGTGGTAATCTCTCCCTCATAATCCGCTGGGTTGCCTTGCAGAGAATCAAGGTGATTATAGGAGAAAATGCACACCAGGAGCCCAGACGCAAGAAGAACCCAGATCTTCACAAGCAGGGGCTCTTCCTCCTCCTCAGCTACCTGAGACAGCACCTGAAACACTAAGGACCAAGAAAGATGGAAGGAAAGAAGGCCCAGACTTAACGATTTTATTTCTGAAGCTTTCAAAGAGGCCTCTGGTTTTAGAACAGGGAGAGCAAAAAGCAGAGCCAGACAGAAAAAGGCCTTTTGGGGTAGTAGAAAAAGAAAGTACCCCCCAACCCACTTTGAATGCTTTCCCCATAGAAGGGGTTGGATTCTCCCATTTATCTCAAAGAGATTAAGAATTGTAAAAGCTGAGAAATGTGAGGTCAAATGACCTCTGAAATCTGCAGGATTCTGAAAATCTGAGCTCCAAAATGAATTTAACATGAAGACTGCAGGGTAGAGTCATCCCTGTGTGAGTTAATCAACACTCATGCTCCCAACTTCCCTGGCTCTGCACCTGCTACCCTTACCCCCACCCCCCACCCAGGGCAAACAGACTTGGAAAGGAGTCTGTAGGGGAGGACCAGGGAGTTAGTGAGGGAGGGGCAGGAGGGCCACACACCCGTTGTGGCATATCTGGTTCAAAAGACATCTAGGTGTGAACATTCTGGAGAGAATGGTTCTCTCATCAGACCTCCAGGGAGAGCAGTAACAGTAGATGCTAGGCCCAGACTTCTCTTTACAAGAAAAGAATGTTTCTCAGTGAAGAAATTGGTGGTGGGGGTTGGGGGGTTTGACAGGAATGACATTGAGTCTTAATTCTTCCAAGTTTTTTCCTTAAGAACCTCACAAATCTGAGGATCAGTAAAGTTACTCTTGAAGTAATCAGTACTAAGGAGAAATCAAAACACCACACCACAGGAGACTTGAACAGAATGATCTCCTCCCTCATAATGTGCTGGCTATAAGGAGTGGTGGCACAAGTACAAGTTATCCCTGAGCTGGACTCCAGACTCTGCCCCCAGCCCAGTGACCCAGAAGAAGCTTAGAACCCCTGCTCTCCTGAACCCCAAATCTACAAAGCAAGGAGATATATTCAAATTAAAAACTCTTGAGTTTTCCCACAAATCAAAAGCATCAGCTGAACAGACAAGAGGTAGGAGTTTAGTGAAGACTTGCTGCCTTACAAGGGAGCTGATGGAGAATACGATCCCTCCTCTTGTGAAAACCACACCCTCTGTCACTGATATCCAGGCCCCAGTGGGGAGGTCTGTCCAGGACAGCACAGCGATGCCAGAACTAGAACCCACAGCCATCTCCACAACTCACCCAAAGCTGCTTCCTGAAGGCCTGAAGGGAAGCCTCATCCCCATCTCCTCACCACCTCTTCACACCCAGGAGACCTGGTTCCAGGTCCCTCCTGCTCACCTGTATGAGGTACGCATGTCCACGGGCCCGTCACCCGCCTGCCCTTCACATCTGCCCACGGTTGGCACCTCTGCCCCCCTCAGCAACCCTTGGGCTGGGCCTGCTCCTGGCTCAGGCGTCACTCTCATGTCTCCGTCAGTGTTTAAATCTGAAGACAACAATCCTCTCTCCATTTTTATTTTCTTGCTCTCCACATCATCCTCCGCTGGGTCCCGTTCAAGGGCTCGTTTCTGACTCCGTGTTCGGCATGCTTCTTCAGTCATTCTGAACTTTGGGAGAAGGAGAAAACACGACATTTAAACTTGGCACAACCAAGTTGCTACCTTCTTAGAAACTTTTTCAGAGTGTCAGCTTGGAGAGTTTTCCTTGCCACATGCTGCTAGTGGAAGTAGGCACAACAAATCCAGGACCCACAAAGTATGCCCAAGACCTTTCTTCACTGCCTGGGGAAGGCTGGGCAGGATCAGTGGAGCATCTGGGGGGTTGAGACCTTTGGGGACCTGGACAAGAACAATGGAAAGTGGCTCCTTATCAGAAGGAAGGGGAGTCCTTTGTGCTCCAGACTCAAAATCAAACAGAGGCAAACTGTTCTAGATCTGAACTCCCTGCATCTGGGATTCTGAGTACCTGCCCTGGATTGGAGATGTCTGTAATCTGGCAAAGGGAAACCACACTGTCCCAGGAGCAGGGTCAATGCCCAGGTCTAGCCAAGCACTGCCTCAGGTTGACCCTTTTTCTCCCCTTTAGTGAGGGACAGGCTCCTCATTCCCTGCTCACTTCTGGGGGTGAGAGGTGGGGGTCACGTTTAACCCTTTGACTGCCAGCAAGGTAAACTTTGAGTGGAGTAAGAGCTGGCTCGTCACTGTGCCAGCACCCTGTACCTGCAGCACATACATATCTTGATTTAAAGAAAGAAAAGAAGGAAAAAAAAAAAAACAGCTGAGTCAGTTTTTGATCCCATGACATCACTGGGCTCCACATGACCCTTCCCAGGATTCAGTCTGAGAGACAAAGCACTTTCCAGAAAACCAGTCTGAACCGGTTCCAGACAACAAGCTGAAGTGTTATTAACCCTCACGGAGACAGGACGGAGGACAGCGCAGTGATGTCTGTCTGCAGGGAGGCTGCTGGCATTCCACAACAGAGTCTGGGACACAGGCACTCGCTCTTAAAGGAGCCACTCCGAGCCCAGCCTTGATGTCCCAACAAGGCAGGACACAGGAAATAAAACTGCAACAAGAGTTCAGTCAGTCTAAAAAGCCAAGCCAGAGTTCGTGAGAGGACAAAAAAGAATTTAGCTGCCAGGCTCTAACAGAATTCCCAAAGTGCCAGTTCTACACAGGATAGTAGGCATCCAGTCTACCAACATGGGGCCCATGGAGGAATACACCATGGGCTCAGAGAATCTCAATTCATACCTGTGGTGTACCTACACTGAAGGCACCTGTGTCCACAGACACAAACTCTGTCTGTGTCCACAGGCAGGGCACCTGGCACCTCAGTTTCCTCACCAGTGAATACCCTGGGAGGCCTATCCTGGACAGGGCCAGTCATTCCCAGTCCCAGAGCCCACCTTCTGGGAGGCTTAGGGCAACACAGAGTAACGAGGGGGCCACTTCATCATATATGGGATACCCTCCTGAGATTATTCACTCACAATCTTCTTTAGGAGCCAATTCCACAAATAGCAGTAGTGCAGGGCCTTGCCCCAAAGGCCCCTTTGGTTGGACTTAGAGTGAAAGGAATGAAACGGACAGCTGCCTCATGCTGCTGGCTCAGGAGGCAGAGTGGCCCATATACACACGTCAGGCCAGTGTGGCCTGGCCGGGGCACTCAGATATCTGCTACTACAGGCAGTACAAATGAGTCAAAATGAGCAAGTCTCCTGGTGGTCATGTCACCCCTAGGGTGCTCCCCACCCTTGTTGAAGGAACGTGGGGCTGGAGAACTCAACGCTCAAGGGCACAGGATATCAACAAGACCTTCATCTGCCCCCAACCCCTCCTGGCATCCTATCCCGTGCCTGCCACCAACTCTGATCAGTCCCAGTCACCCTTCCCCAAATATCCCCCCATCCTCTCCTCCCATTCTCTGTGTGGATATGGTCTCCTAACTGGCTCGGAGAAAGCAAGGATACCCCCCATGTCCCTCTTAGCCTAAAGCTCTATGGCTTCTGTCCTCCTTCTTCTTTTAATTTTATTTATTTGACAGAGAGAGAAGAGACAGTGAGAGAGGGAACACAAGCAGGGGGAGTGGGAGAGGGAGAAGTAGGCTTCCCGCCAAGCGGGGAGCCCAAGGCAGGGCTTGATCTCAGGACCCTGGGATCATGACCTAAGCCAAGGGCAGATGCTTAAGACTGAGCCACCCAGGCGTCCCTGGCTTCTGTCCCCTGATACGCCTTCACAACAAACCCAGTCAGCCTGCTCACTGAGTCTATCAGCCCTGTCTCTGTGAGACTGCAGATAAGTCACTGTCCTGAGTGTCAGTCACCCTCCCCTCCCTCACTGTGGGCTCTTGGGTCATCTTTCCTTGGGGACGGCCTAAAACAGGAGCCCCTTGAACATTTGGGAATTAGACAAGAGGAACAATTTCAATAGCTGCCTTGGACAGCAGGTAGCTGCGCTCCCCAGACCAGAAAGGAGCCTATCAGGATCAAACAGGAGAGGACAGGAGACAGAACCAGAAAAAAGGAAAAGAAGGTCCCCACTAGTCAGAAGAAATTCTGCCCCTAAGGGAGAAGCTCCCAGTCTGGCCCGGTACCCACTGAAGGAGAAGCGGGACTAAGGTCGATGTGGAGGATGCCCTCCCCAATCCTGTACTCAAACTCCCTCATGCTTCCCCACTCTGCCTCTGCTCCAGCCTGGTACCCTCACCCACCCACCCACCCTGCCAGCCAGCACAGTCTTTGGCCTTGTAAATTCCAGGTTCCAATCCATGATTCTCATCTAAACCCAGACCCTATGTGAAGTCTTTCCTCTCAACTGCCCACATCGATAAAGGGAGAGGGGGAACCAAACCAGATTGCTGTGTGCCAAGTCACCAGACTGGCAAGGTAGTGCCCAGGTGACCTCACTTCATTGTCACTGGTGTAAAACAAGAAACGGCAAAGGGCCAGAGCAGAGCCTCACACCCACAGGGCTGTTCCTTCCAGCCCCAGTGACCACCCTGGGTCATAGGGTCCTCCACAGCACCCCAGTTTGGGTAGTTGATTAGGGTTCCCAGCAGAGGACCCGGAACATAGCCTGTTTATGCTGTGTGCAGTATCAGGGTAGCTCACTCTGAAGCTGAGGGGCTAGAACTCTGCCAACCCTAAGCCCAGAAATAACAGCCATCCTGGCAGTGCACACATGCCCTGCCCCTCCGACTCTGGTGGGGGCTTCTTGGGAGGGGGGCTGCTGCATGCCTCCCACACCAAAGGAAGGACCAGCATAGCTGGAGGGGGTACGGGGCCGAACATGGCACAGAGTGCCTCCAGCTCTGCACCCCACCCCCTGTCCTGCCTTAGGTGGAGTCTGTTCCACACAAGGTGGCTGTCTTAGAGGCCACAAGGGGCACGTGCTCCTGGGGACGGCAGGTGCTGGTAAATAGCAGCTCCTCCCTCCTCGCAGCATGAAGGACCAGTGGCGCCCACCCCCCGACGTCTCCCGCACTTAGGGCTAGCGGCCACCACCTGCAGGCATGAACCCAGGATCTGCCACAAACCTACAGGGAAGAAACAAGCCTTGAGGAATGAAGCATGACCTATGATCTCTGCAAAAAACAGTGAGGGGGTACATTAGAATACATTCTAAAGAGCAGGTGAAAAGGCTGGATTAGTGTGATAGCAAATTAGGATCTGCTTCACATCCCTGGCCAGTAAGGGTAGAATGAAGGGAAAGACAACAGAGTTTCTACCACAGGCCCATTCAGGAATGGCCAGCCCACAAAGAGCAGCTCCCTTTTACTGAAGGGGGACCCCATGCTGGTAGGGGAATATCCTGACAGCAGCTCGCCCACTGTAAAGCTGAGGCCCCCAGGTCTGCAAAAGGCTGCCTAAGGCACAGGATGCTACCCAGGAAGCAAGGCTAGAACGCAGGTGGCCTCAGCCCCTCGCAGAGCCTGCTCTAATACATCCTCAGACAGGGATGTGGGAGCAGAGAGGTGGCAGGATGAAGCCCAGATCTTCCTCACCCCAAGAAGGAGGTTGTAGCCACACTAGAGGCTACACAGGCATACCCACAAAGCAACCCCAGAACAAAGGGGCCATGAAATCACAGGTGAAATGATGACATGGGGCTTTGGGTCAGTGCAAACTCTAACTGCCGCTACCAAAGGCTACTTTATTTATTTTTTTGGAAAATGCTTTGACAATATATTTTTTCATTTTTTCATTTTTTATTTTTTTTAAGATTTTATTTATTTGACAGCTAGAGATCACAAGTAGGCAGAGAAGCAGGCAGAGAGAAGGGAAAGCAGGCTCCCCACTGAGCAGAGAGCCCGACGTGGGGCTCGATCCCAGGACCCCGGGACCATGACCTGAGCTGAAGGCAGAGGTTTAACCCACTGAGCCACCCAGGCACCCAGTAGCCACCCAGGCTACTTTATTTTAAAGATTTTTATTTATTTATTTATTTGAGAGACAGAGAGAAGAATGCACATGCAAGTTGTGGGGAGAATCCCAAGCAGACTCCACATGAACATGGAGCCTGACATGAGGCTTGAACTTCACCACAACCCCAAGATCATGACCTGAGCCAATCAGAGTCAATCAAGAGTCACCTGTCTAGCCAACTGAGCCAGCCCCTACTTTATTTTAGTAAAATCCCACTGTCTCACTGATCTGAGAACCTCAGAGGAGAAAAACCTGTTCTCAACTCCAAAGGGGTGAATGATGTAGGAACCAGAATTTTTAAACCAAACGAAGGAGACCAATGAAAGCACCTGGCACAAGTTGAGCACATAACACCAGTAAACGTCTCCTGATGATTTAAAAAAAAAAAAAAAGTAAACAAACACAAGTCATGGAGCTATAACCCTAAGGCATTATCATTCCGTACTTGGAAATATTATTTATATTACACAGTTACTAACACACCAGCAGGAATACTACCAGTAACACTCCTGTTTCAGGCATGAGAAAAGTGCTTAGCGATACGTGGTTAGGAAAAGTGACCAGGCTGAGGCTCTGAAAGGTGGACCTGGGGTGCTCTTTCCAGAACTGAGAGAAGAGCATGAGGAGGTGGGGAAAAGAGGGTACTGAGTGTGGACTGCCCTCAGGGGGAGCATGGAC